AACGCGGCGATGTATTCCTTGGCTGACTCACCGGACCGTTGATCCCTCTGTTCGAAGATGTGGCGCCATGAGATAACGGACACCTTGGGGTTGAAGTGCTCCTTCAGCAGCTTCTTCAGGTCTGCGTAGCTTACAGACTCTACTGGGACAGGTGCTGCAAGGTTTTCTGCGATTTCGAAGGCGTCTTGGCCGCAAACGCAAAGCAGGGTGGCCGCCTTCAAGCTATCTTCCCTCACTTGGTTTGCCTTGAAGTAGTTCTCCATTCTGGATACGTAGGACTCCCACCGCTCTGGATGTGAGACGTCGAATTCCGAAAGCCTTCCGATTTTCGCCATCTTCGGATCTTCAGGAGACGGGTCTATCAGCCAGCCTACCCCCGAATGCGCACCGGATTGGCGGGCAGCTGCCGAGTCGACGCCGTTCCTCTTTCGCCGCTCAGGACTCCTTGGGTAAGCTTACACTTCTTCCTTTCCAGGTAGTGCAAGGCATCCCACCTTCGTCGCCAGTGTTGAGTCCGTGGCGGGAAACAGACACGAGAAGCAGCTGGAGTTCTCAGTTTCTTTTATTCAGCGTTCAGCTTACAGGAAGATGGCTTCAGCCTCGCCCAAACGCCTCGCAGCCTCTTATATAGGCAACTCCCGGGTAAATGGGTTACTTTTCCCGCGCCAGCACCCGCGCATGCGCACGGCGCTGGCGACAGCCTGTCTGGTCCCGGGCAGCTTTGCACCTGCCCGGGACTGCCTGCAAACGCCCGAGCCGTTTGCAAGGCTCGGGACATAACACGGGGGAAGCTGTGGCCAGGAATGGTGGTTTACCTAAGAGCCCAGGCTGTCTTTCCCAGGCAGAATCTGCTCATCTTGCGGGGACCAGAAGGAGGGAATGCTGCAGGTGCCCAGCATGAGAGATTGAGGAGAAGACTCCCAGAAAATGGCCTTCTCAGTTACAGTGTGTCCAGGAGTTCAAGGTTGCCCATTCTTCTCACATTCCCTTTTCTCCTTCAGCAAAAGGGCATCACTTAAATTGGACAGCAACAGACTCTACTTAATGTTGACTGTTTTATGGCTGTTTTGATCTCTATACCTTCAAACCACTGTGGGAAGAATCCAGAGAGAGAAATATTTTCGGAAATATTAAAAAGGTGGATATATTTCCCCAAAGGAACAATGGAAAAGATCTTTAAAAAGGCAGAAACCAGCCCCCAGAAATCAGCCCCAGCTCCTAGGCAGGGGCCAGCTTTTAGAAATGCAAATTCAATAATCCATTCAGGAAGGTTGGGGCCAGCAAGCTAGAAGCTGATGAGATTAGGAAGACAAAGACCCCTAAAATCTACATTCCCCACCCAAACTCTAAAAGACATGACCTTTGGGGACATAATAGGATTAACCCACCAATACCAAAAGGGCACGCTCAGAATCAGGTCAAACTACATGACACAGGAAATACAGAGCCACAAACAGGAACAGGAAACAACCTCAAGAGCCCAAGAAGGTATAAAAACCCACCACTCCCAGCAACATGTGGTCAGCTTTCCCAGGGCTTTTGTCTGCCTCTGCCCTTCAATAAACTACAATCTTCTTTCTAAAGCACTCTCCATTTTGTTTATTCCCAGCTTGGACTGGACCTGATGAAGACTTTTCTTTCAATACCACGAGTTGCAGGTGTAATTGTTGGTAAAAAATACATTCCACTACTTGACAGCTGATCTACGGTATTTGTAGCTATAAAATTGTAATCTATGATTACAGCCATAAGGTACAAACTTGTATGTTTGGGTTTGTGTGGGATATTTTTAGAGAGGGTTTTTGTCCTCTGAAACTGACTGTTAACAATTTTGTGTGCATTTTGCAGGTTACTGAGCCGAATGAGCCTCTTTCAGATGGAGAGAGAAGCCTGTTATCTGGGAGAATGTAAGTGCCAGGCAATCTTTCTGGTGACTCATCAGGCAGCATTGAGCAGAAAGACCGAGTTGATGAGAATGAGAAGAAGCTGGAAAAACTGAAAGCACAGAAGGAGAGAACAGAACGCAATGATGTCTTGGCTCCCCAAGATGAGTTCTTAACCAAAAACTGGGGTGATATTCAATGGGAACAAGAACTCTAAGAACGAAAGATGATTATTGCTGCTATTTAGCTAAAGCAGGGGTAGGCAACCTTGGCTCTTTTATGGCTCATGGACTTCAACTCCCAGAATTCCTGAGTAGCTGGCTCAGGAATTCTGGGAGTTGAAGTCCACGAGTCATAAAAGAGCCAAGGTTGCCTACCACTGGGCTAAAGTATTACAGAGGGAAGAAAAGCAGTGTGGTGGATGCATCAGAGGTTACTTCCAAGGAAGGCTGTGAAATGAGCTGCTTTCTAGCCAAATAATCCTTGGGTGAGGGTATCCTAGAGTTGGACAGGTGGAATGAGGAAGATCACCTCACTTTGAATGTCAACCAGCTGGAAGAGGAAGCCAGGGAGGGCACCATCTGAAGAACTTTTGAATCCCAGCTCTCCATCCATTGTCACCTCACTGCAATCATACAGCAGTCCTTTGCTGCAGTCACATGCCGCTGTGGTTGGCCAAATGTGCTGCTGCAGGGACAGAGCTGTATGGTTTAGCACCGTGGCATATTTTTATATAATTTTATTAAACTTATCAATATATAAAATACAGGCAAAAATAAAGATAATGGTGGAAGGCAAAAACAGGAAAAGAAGTGTGGATTAAAGGGGGGAAAAGGGGAAAAAAGCATTAACTTCCAGCTCTTTTCAGCACAGGAGAATAAAGGTAATAATGTTACAGCTGTGATGTTTTACTTTTGCATTCTTAGTGTCAACTAACTGTTTATGTAACAACAGACTTATCTAATCAGCAAATCCCAAAGTCAAACTTGCATTTTTTTTCCTGCCTGAGAACAAAGTCTAGATTCTAGAAAGAGTTTGCAAGTAGAAACAAAAGTAGATGTATTTTTTTTCTTTGATTAAAGCAGCTAATATGCCCATGTTTTCTGACTCCATCAGTTTTCAAGCCATTCTTTCCATTTTTGAAGTTGAACTATTCCTCCTTGAACTAAGGAGAAACTTCCTGACCATTAGAACCAGTGGAACAACCTGCCTCCAGAAGCGGTGAATCCTCCAACACTGGAAGTTTTTAAGAAGAGACTGGACAGCCCTTTGTCTGAAATGGTGTAGGGTTTCCTGCCTGAGCAGGGGGTTGGACTAGAAGATCTCCAAGCCCCCTTCCAACTTTATTATTGTTATTGTTATTGTATCTTTCCATTTTTGCACATAAAGCATTTTCGTTGTGGTCAGCATATAACAACAACAAAGTTCCCAATTTTTTTCAAGTTCCTTGTTCACTCACTTGCTGAGTTCTACTTTCATTTTGAGGATCGTCTATTAAAACATAAATCTTATCCCAGTATTTCTTCACCTTGTCACAAGTTCACCAGATGGTAAAAAGTTTCTTGTTTACATTTCCAACATACATTTTAAATACCTTATGTATCTTTGACAATTTCTTAGGTATTAAACACCAAAATATTTTATTAAAAAATTCTTTTAAGTTATAATTCAGTGTAATTTTAAATCCTTCATCCATATGTTTTCCCATTGTTCAAGCATTATATTATACCAAAGTTCTTTGCCCATTGAATCATACAAACTTTCACATATTCATTTTCCAAGTTCAAATTCAGTAACTCTAAACCTTGGCAATAACATGTTCATCATTACCACACAATATAGTTTCAAATTCAGTTTTACAGAGTCAAACCCGTAACTTTTCTGGTCCAGCTTGAATCTTTCCTTCAGTTGTAAATAGGGTAACCAGTGACACACATGCCCTTCTGGCTCCAACTCTTCTTTGGACTTAAGATTAGGTTCACCTTGATCAAAAAATATTTGTCCAGAAGTCCAACCTATTGCCAATTCTTTTCTTTAAAAAAGTGATACCTGCAAAGAGAACCTTGTTTTATGTTTATTCCAGACCCTTAGGATGATCTGGAAGTGGCCCGTGGCCCTTCCTTGACTGTCCCAGCATCCACAAAAGAGCTGCCCCTTCCCTCTCTGCTCCCTGCTCCTTTGGACATCAAAGTCAAACACCGGAAGAAGAACTCATTTCGCCTCTACCCGCCTTTAATCTTCCCTACAGACCTGGATGTGGCCGTGGGAGAGGAAAACTGAAGCAGCTGTAGGATGGGCTGCCAGAACACACCCAGAAAATGGCTTTCTGGGACACTTTTGATCACCAACATCAGAAGGAACCATAAATCCTTCTGGTCTTTTGCACATGGGGATTCATTCAGACAGTCAACTAATCCAATGCCTCATCTTTTCAGGGTTGTAATGAAAAGCTAACATTCAGAAGTACTTAAATAAGGGGTCTGTTTCCATGTAGCGTTCATTCCAGAAAAAGGAGCCACCATGGACCTGACGCACTTGTTAGGCTGATCAGCAGGACTTCAGGAGGATTCTCCCTTCTGTCCAACATGGTCTTTGTCTGGCCACCTTCTAAGCTTTGGTGAGATGGGTTCTCATGCTTAGACCTGCTTCCCTGTGTCTATTTGCTCCATCAGAGCCCCAATCTTTCCTTGTTTCTGAGTACTTTCCTCTTGATTTTCATGGCATGTAGCCCTAGTGATGCCATGATGTCATTGCCCAAGCAATGGTTGCCATGGGGACTGGATGACGTGTCATGTAGAAAGTTGCTAGGGATACAGAGCTGGCTTGGAGGGAGGGGAGACAAAACATTTGCAAAGATTCTTTGTCAACATAGGAGAAGAGCAGGAACATAATTGGGAGGAGACACAATAACAATTTAATTTCCTGGATTTTGAATGTCAGACAGGTCTCACGTGACAACCGCTCAAATTAATTTCAAGACAGGAGGCAATCGGGGAAGACTTGAGTTCTGAGGGGAGCTTCTTCAAAGAATCCTAAAAGGATAATTTTGAAGACTCACAATGATGGGGGGGATGTGAAGGGGAGGGAAAGAGAGCAGAAGCCAACTTGGCTGCACAAAATGCTTCATGAAAAGGACTCCTGTGTCAAGTGGAAGGAGGTCACCAGAGAAATATGAGTAGAAACGCTGGACTTTGTAGACAGAGAGCCAGGAAAGCAAAAAATAAACTGAGATTAGTGAAGGCTACTCAGGACAATACAAAGAATGTCTTCAGAAACTCAGAAGGAAAAGGAAACCATAAACCAGCTGCTTAGTGAAGGAGGAGAGAGGGGATCAAAGCAGAAAAAAGTCAGAGTGGCTTAACTCGGGTGATGGAGCAGATCCCAAGAGACTCCTTCCAGGTCTTGGCTCCTATGAGGTCCAAACTCCAGGTCATTAATGTTACAGAACAACCCACAAAGGACCCCAAAGAAGACACTTTAGGCCAAAGACCTCTGGCTCTTTGGGAACACTCTCCCTTTCCAAGTAGCCAAACCTTTGTCTTGTTGGAGTGGTAAGTACCCATTTGTGAAATTTCAGCTTCGTTGTCCTCTTCTTAGAAAGGCAGGATACATGGCTAAGAAAACCCAATGGAGCTCCCACCTGCATTTCTGCAATGACTCTGCAGGAGGCAGAGCAGCCCAAGGGATGGGGCAGCGGCAGCTGCACAGATGCTCATCTTCAGGTTGAGGGCAGGGCAGAATTATTTAATTTCCCCCCTGAACCATTTTACTTCCTCCGCTTGTTGGCACGAGTAAATATGGATAACGTGTTTGGTGCAAGACTGTGACTTTTGCAGCAGGGCATTTTTCCTGTGGTGTAGCTTAACCCTCTCTGCTTCTTTCTGAGGCTCAGCAGATTTTCCCTCCACTGCCTGGATCTTCCCAAAGGATCTTGAGGGTGGAGCTCCAACACTGCCGCCCCCCCCCCCCAGTTACTAAATAGTCAGCACTCAAGAACAAGGATATATTGGAACAGAGCCATGGTAGCCCCGGATCAGAAGCACTTTTTCCAACCAACCAATTTTATTAAAAGGCAGAAGATTTTGTGAGCTAGGCTGATATTGTGTGTCCATTGCAATCCGTCCTCCATCAATCTAGCCTGCGCCAGTCTAGTCCCTCAGTGAAACTGGTTGGTCAGAAAAGGGGCTCCAGGGCCCCCCCTGATTAGTTGCCATCTACAAAAGTGGGCCTCAGTGCTTAATACTGGATTTAGTCCTACTTGAGAGAGCTGTTTCAAATTCTAGTTCAGCCATGTTGCTTCAGCCAGTCACAGTCAGCTGAATCTACCTGACAAGGTGGCTGTGAGTGTCACATGGGAGGGGAGAGAGATCTATTGGGCTTATGTAACTGGAAGAGCGGCGGGAGAGAAATGCGTGCAATAAATTATTCAATGTCTTCCATACTCTGCTCAGAAAGGTCTAACCAGGAAAACTCTACACTTTCCCAGTTACAAAATAGTTCTATTGATTCATGTAAGTAAGCAACTGCTTCCTTTATTGATAACAACTGAAAACAGTATAAAAGAACAGAGCAAACAGTTTAAAATATAAGACAGATTACATAGTAATTAATTGGTTTAAAGCCAACATTTAAAACCCAAGCATTCTCTCTCTCTTTCTCTCTCTCTCTCTCTCTCTCTCTCTCTCTCTCTCACACACACACACACACACACACACACACACACACACACACACACACGAGGCCTGACCTTCAGACTCTTGCAAGAGGCTTCAAGAGGACAAGGCCCCAGGCAGAGGGCTGCTCCAGGTGAGATTCTGTCCATGGCCGTGCTGCAGATGTTACCAGTTGCAGAAGAGCCACGGAGAGGAGGTTCTGCCTGTAGCTCCATTTGAAGTAATGGCTAAGGGGAGGCAGCAAATGCCTGGCCAGGAGTCCCCCCCCCACTGGAGAAGAGAGAATCCTTCTGGGTTGAGAAGGAGGAGAGCCCACAGCACCCACACTGCCATCTCAGCAGGAGGTTTTCAGGGGATGAACTCTGGGGGGGGGCATTGGGAAAGTTGACCCTCCACTGAACAGATTGCTCCAGGACCCCCTCCAGAATTATCGGCCCCTTCTGGCAGAGGGAATGCAGCCCCACTGAGAACAGGCAGGCTCCCCACAGCCTTTATTCAGGGCCCTTCAGTCTGCTGAAGCTTCACCTAGTCAAGAACCGTCATTTATTTGGGCTGAAACTGGCAGAAACTTGGGGAGGGGTTTCTGGGGATACAAGCGCACATGATTCACAGGTTGTGTCACGGGGGCTATTGGCTGCCGAGTGCTGGGAAAGTGGCCCTCCTGGTGGGGAACCCGGCCCGTCTGGTGCCACCTGGGAAACCGATGCTGGGAAGAGCCAGTTTCTTGGCAAAATCCCTCGGCAGAGCAAATGCGAGGCTGCCAACCATTTTTGTACTGATTTTTTCTGCAGCTTTCAGACAGAAGACTCTTCCCACTGCTGCCAATTAAGGATGTGGCATAATTGTTCGCTTTTCCCCTCCTTAATGCATTTTCTGTGGGAAGCAAAACTGTGGCCGACGCAAGAGAAAAACTGTGGCAGGCTAAGTGCCTTCCCCTCAAAGGGCTGGGGAAACAGAGGACCCCCCACAAGGATGGAGAAGAGCCACCTCCAGGGGCCTCTGCAAAGCCTCCCGATATGCTGACGCAGAACTGCAGCCTCGGGCCACGGCGTGGAAGTCAGGTCTGCCCTTTGGGGCCAAAGGATTGTACAGGCGGCACCAATTAGCAACGCAGCCTTTTTCCTAACACTCAAGAACGCCTATGCGATAAGTATTTTGATAAGCTCAGCAATAAATAAACCATCAGGTTCTGACAGCCACATCTTAGGAGGATCCCTGACCCACTGAGGAAGGCTTGGGAACATCTGCAGCCGTTTCTCCACTTGGGAGCTTTCAGACGGGTGGACCTCGACTCCCAGAATTTCCCAACCAGCACGGGCAAGTTGACGCATCTTCAAGCCATCAAGGTGGTCGAAGGAGAGCAGCCGATGTAGGGCTTGGAAGAAAAGGTGGCAGTCTGGGAAGGTGGAGCCTGGAGGAGGGAAGACTACATGATGGGGATCTTTATTTATTCATTCATTAAATGCTGCCCATCTCACTGTCAAGCCACTCTGGGCTGGGAAGAATGGAGAAGGAGCAGGAGGCTTCCCTTACATGGAAGTGGATTTAGGAAGGGAGCAGGGTCTCCTTCGTGCGGGGAGGAGGGTCATCCATCGGGTGACTCTGCTGGAATGGAATGGATTCCCGTGAATGAGATGGGTGGTCTCTAAATTTGATACATACATAAATAAAAATAAATAAATGTCTTCTGGCTCTGGACCAGGGGTGGAGCAGAGGGTCTCCAAAGTCGGCTGCAATGTCACCTTCTTTCATTCTTTGATTCTGTAGCAAATAATGACCCGGCTAGTTACGTATCGGTGGACTTCTAACTGCATTAAATCTATAAGCAAAAAAACCTGGTGGACTTTGACATGCAAATATGGACCTCATCAAAACTTCAGTGGGACCAGCAGGATTTTGAATGATCCTTTTGCTTTCAGTGCTGCATCTCTCAGCAATGGATCCAGATCCACAAAGGGAAACCAATTTACACCGAGTGGTCTTGGCCTCAGGCACGGACTCAGTTGCCTCAGTTGTCCAGGGAATAGTTGTCCAGGGTTCATCTATACAGCTAGTAATGGGCCGCCTGACTCTTATTGACTCTGGGAGACTCACAACCGTTAAATAAAGAAATATTTATTTATTTATTAAACAAATTTGTATGGCCACCAAATTCTTACACAGGTGATTTTGGACAGCTTACAATATGAAAAATCCACAACATAAAAATTATACATTCGTGCACACACATACACAGACACACAGCAGCAGCAACACAATCAGATCAGTCACTTGATGGGCTCCTTTCTCCAGCTCTTGGACAAAACCAGGTCTTCAGGGCCTTTTGGAAAAGCAACAGTCATGTTCCATAGAGAAGGGGCCACCTCTGTGCAGGCCCTTTTTCATGGTCCCACCAGATGCACATTCCTGATCGATGGAACCCGCAGCGTTTCCTAACCCTTCCCACCAATGCCACGACTGGTTTGAGTTGGGTTGATCTGCTGTATTTGTGTTCCCGGGGTTTTTCTGGGGGAGGGACATGTTAAATAGTGGAGCATCCTTGGGCATATCCATTTACTGATAGTCCTCGACCTACAACTGGTTGCTTAGCAACTGTTCAAAGTTATGCTAGACGTACCTTGAGGCTACGTATGACCCAGATTTGAAGTTCCAGTGGTCGCCCATCCCATGATCTTGTTTTTATTGAAAACTAGCACTTACATTTGGTTTTTGGCCAATTGTGTCCATAGAGAACCATTGGTTTATTTAACAACTACAGATTTGCTTAACAACTGTGGTGATTCACTTAATGACTGTCACAAAAAAGGCAATCATATCAGGTTGGACATGTTGCCGACCGGTTTTAGGACCCTGATAACCAGGGCTTTTTTTTCTCATAGAACGCCCAGAATGGAGTTCCGGCACCTTTTTTGGATGGAACCTTGTAGGGTAGGCAAGGTGGGTTGTATGAAATGTGTGAGCTCCTTTTTTTTTTTTTTTTTACAAAAAAAAGCACTCCTCAAGTAGAAAGATGGAGGAGAGAGAGAGGAGAGGAGAGGAGGAGGTAGAAGGAAGGGGGAAGTGAAGAGATGAGAGGGGGATGCGGTCTGGGGGGAAATGAGTGAGCAATGTTGAAATTTGTGTGTTGTATTTTAACTTCTTATGTACCTGAATTTTTTTTCTTATGATTGTAATGAAAATAAAATAATAAAAATTGAAAAAAAAATAAAAATAAAATAAATTTTAAAAAAGCACTGCTCATAACTTACATCCATGATGGGCAGGCTCCATTACCTCCCTGTAATTGTTTCAGAACGGTGATGGCTCCATCGCCTGGTTGTCCTATTGACCATTAGCTGGCAGCAAAGAGTTGGAGGCCTTGGTGCCTCTGGGCTGCCATCTGTGGCCAACTGGACTTGTGAAGCTGAGATGCAGCCGCCAGACAGCACAGAAGAAACCTGTTCAAAGGCTGACCTTGAGAAAGAAGCTATACTGTGTGCAGGTTGGTTTGTGAGCTGATCTCTCCTTCGAACAAGTCTACAAAGCTATTGTGGGCTCCTTCCTGGTCTCTCCCTGCCAGAGCAAAGAGAGAACCAGGGAAGTTTGCCTGCCCCTTTCTGACCCCATGGGCTACTTGTCCAGTAGGGCATTCTAGAACCAAAGGGCTTGTCCACTGTAGCTAAAGACCAGAAGGGGTCTGGGAGCCCCGTTTCCAACTCACAAAGGTCGTTAAAAAGGCGAAAGCTTCAGTGAGTTGCTGCTCTCTGCAATAGATGCACTGAGTAGCTAAACTAAGGTAGGATATCGGTGGGGCGAGGTGGGTGAGTTGAGCTCTGTGCCCATCTGTTGGGGGCTTTGGGCTGCAGGGTCTCTCAATGGTGGCGCAGCAGTTAGAGTGCAGTACTGCAGGCCACTTTAGCTGACTGTGTTCAGCAGGTCAGCGGTTCAAATCTCACCGGCTCAAGGTTGACTCAGCCTTCCATCCTTCCGAGGTAGGTAAAAGGAGGACCCAGATTGTTGGGGGCAATGTAAATATATATATACATTGCTTACTGGTGTACACCGCTTAGAGAGTGCTCGCACTTAAAGCGGTATGTAAGTCTCATAAATAAATAAATAAATAAATAAACCCGTTGCTGCCCCAATAAGAAAGAAGTGCTGGGGAGGCGAATGAGGTTCCAGTCTCCTCTGCACAACAGGGCAGGGGGGGGCAGTTGTACAGGACACCCCCCCCCAAGATGGCTGCCAATGCTGCACCTGAACGGGTGACCCATTTTTACTGTGGAACATTTTTCCCAGGAAGAAGCTGAGTGGCTGAGCAGGGAAAGGGCCTTGGGAGGAGGGATGCCTTTCCTTTGATGCAGCAGCTACTCCTCAGAAGATCTGAAGCTGGCAAACACGCCAACATGACACTGCTGGCCCAGGAACAAAGCCCGCTCTGCCCTCCCCAGATCCGCCCTGGTAGGAATTACGCTTAATTGACTTCCCCATTCCTTGGTGCTGCAACCAGGTTCTTTCGTTGCCCAGACCTTCTCTCCTTCCTGGCTTCCACATCTGGCCCATCCTCTCCAGGGTCCTGCTGGGGGCTTCTGCTTTTACCTGGAGCTCTGCTGGTGGAAACCAGGGAGAAGAAGCTTGTGCTCCGAAGGGGAAAAGAGGTCCTCCTGGTAACCTCAGGCCTCTCGGTGTCCCCGTTTTACCTCTGGGGATTTTGGAGACATTGCAAGTGCACACCTGGGTGACCTCACAGGCTCCTACTTCCTGGAAGGAAAGCCTTGAAGGTGAGTGTTTCAGGCCATGACTAATCCCCGTGGATTTGGGAAGAGATTTCAGCCAAGGAGCTGGGAGGGATTGAGCAGCCTTCCATCAACAGTGCTGCCATCAGCAAGAATAGCTGGTTTCTTTATGAAAACAACCGAGCAGACTGTCAAATGAACAGTTATGCAGGCAAGGGTTCTGCTGGCACCTGAGCTTAAACTTGGGCAGGTGAGTGGCATTTTAAAGAGAAAAATGAATGAAAGACGGAAAATAGCATCGAATATAAGACCTGATCGAGAATCCGCCCTGCCGCACGTCAGCGCCTGGAAGTTTCTGCCTTTTAGTGAAATTGGTCAATCAGGAAAGGAGCTTCAGGCTCTGACTTTCTGCCAGTCTTCCTTCAACGTCTTAATTAACTCTGGGCAGCTGGCACAGCGTAAAACTCAAACGCACCTATAAAAACAGTAAAAAAGGCCCCAAAAATCTCAGTAAAAGACAGCAGGGAAAAATAATCAGCTCCTCACTCAAACCCTGAAGAAGAACAAAATGCTCTTTTCTGTGCTCACCTCTTGGCCTTAAATTCCCAGAGAAGAGCCCATTTTTAACGCCTTATAGAAGGCCGACCAGATCGAGCACCACCCAGCAAGAAACATCCTGTGCTCTGAGCAGCCTCTTCCCTGCTCAGAGAGGATCTTCGGAGCTCAGGGCTGAACTGGGGGGCCCTTGGTGCTCTCTGAGCTTGGGGGTCCTCATGTGGATGTTTCATGACCCAATCAGGGAATATCATCCGTGCTAAAAGCCCTCCCCATGCTGCAGACCCTGTCAGTCAAGGAATTTCAACTGGGCAGCCTCCAGAAGAGTCAGTTCTGCCATTACTCCCACCTTCTGGACCATCGTGCCCCCTGAAGGGAGATCCACACCCACCCTTTTGCCCCTCCAAAAGGCCTTGGAGACATGGCTGTGCCAGCCAGCCTGGGGCCCCAGTGGGGGTCTGGGATTCTGGAGGTGGCTAATGGAGTAGAGAACCCCCCACCTCCTCACTTTGCTCCACAGAGGGAGGGAGCAATCTCTGCCAGAGTTTTGCTGGCATTGATGCCAAGCTAGCATCGATCTGTGCTTACCCAGGTCCTCTTTCCCCCCCTTATCCTAAGCTTAACCCTCTGGCTTAATGAAGCTGCTGGCAGGGTGCCTGTATTGTCACATACTTTGCACATTTCTTTCCATCATCAAAATGTTTTTCTTTTAGCGCCGGCTTCTTGCCTTTTACCCATTCACACCCCCCCACCCCATGTCTTGTTCCACTACCCTGTTCCGGTTCGCCTCCCAGGAAGCCCGCAAGGAGCCAAGCAGGAAGTCTGCAGGAGACCTGCAAGCAGACCAAAGGACAAGAAGAGTTGGTGAGCTGATCTGCCCTGGTGGGCCCCCTTTGCTTGTTGGGTGGTCCTTCCTTCTCAGTTCTGGAGGTCCCTGCCCTCCCTCTCGTGGACAGGAGGAACATCCTCAGCTCAGCTTGAAGGTTGCTTCCTCAAATTTCTGGTGTCCTCCTGAGCTATCAGTGCCTCCCAAGGTCTGACCTCCTGCAACCAGATCCTGTGGAGATTAAAGGCAGATCCTGCAGGTGGGCTGCCTTACCAGCGTGGACTGGAGATCCCCCCCCTGAGGAGCCCTTTCCTCAATCTCCCATGCTCAGCTGCTGCTTCCTCCTCCACTTTATTGCACAGGTTAGCAACCTCACCTGAGCTTTTGCCTGCAGTGCTTCATTCAAAATCCATGAAAGACGTATGTACATTATTTGCTAATTGACTATGTTTTGAAATGAGCCTTTTTCATCTCTTTCCCAAAAAGGAAATCCAAGATTATTTACCAAAAGTGATCAAAAAAGCGATGTTGATGTCCACATTCATGTGATCAAGCCCCAACACCATTCTACTTGTGCCAGAACACTCCTGCAAGATAACAAAGTAATAAATATCTTAAACATTCAGAAAGACATAATCCCCCCCCCCAAAATACGTTAAAAATAATGTTAAGACCTTGAACAAGCAGTCTTGTGTTTACAGAAGCGATCCTAAAAGCCAATATTCACTCCAGCACCATTTTCGAAGAGCCTTTTACACACAATGCTTCTTGGGACAGCAGGCCTTCTTCGGGCTGCACCCAGGAAGTCTCAGCAGTGATGGTGGGGGGGGGGGCTTCCACCTGTGGAGGAGGTTCATCACCATGAAAGCCGCCTCTCCCAAAGCCTCGGCTTCTGGGGACGTAGATCACCTGAAGCTAAAATCGGCCGTTTGCCTCATGCTCCGAAAGGAAGCAGAAAATGGTGAGATGTTAATCTTATCTTGAAAGCCTGAAGATCTGTTGCCCTGGACCCCAGGCAAGGGGGCTCTGGGGAAA